ATAAAACTGACAGGCTATCTGCCCTTCTGAGACTTATCTACTGAAGTCATAAAAAAAGATCAAAGACAAGTCCCCACCTCCACCCTGTTCAGAGGAGATGGGGGAAAACAGCTGTACCAGAAAGGCTGAGTTGGTTTCCTGGACTCTGGACATCCAAGAATGCAATTACTCCAGCATCTGGGCCACGTGGAATGGCCCCTAAAGACAGAACGCAGAGAAGCACAGCAAAGCTTCTTTCTCCATCGTGTGCCCCACAGTCCTCTGGGAGCTTTTAACAACTTGATCAAGAGGAGCTGAACAGCCACCTTGTGAACAAAAAAATTAAACCCAAAGCCCCACTGTCATGGAGTTCATTCAGACCCATCGCAACCCTGCATCAAGTTTCCAACACTGTAAACCTTAACAGGAAGATGTTGCCTATCTTTCTCCCTTGGAGCAACTGGTGGACTCGAACCCCTGGCCTTTTAGTAAGCACTGATTCCCCCTCCAACCATTATACAGTTATTTTTCTAAATATGGTATATGTTGTTGCTGTTGGCTGTAAGCTGACTTTGACTCACAGTGACCCTATGAACAATGGATCTATCCCCGGGGTTGAGCCCATTGTCACAGCCCCTCTGTCTTTCACTGATCTTCCACTTTTTCAGCATAATGTCTCTTTCCAAGGACTGACCCCTTCTAAGTACCTGTCCTTAGTAGGTGAGACAAAGCTTTGCCCTCCTTGCCTCTAAGGAAGACCGTGGTTGTGCTTTCTCAAGGACTTGTTCTCCATGAGTTACTCTGTGCTCTTCTCCAACACCACAACTCCAAGACATTGATTTTTTTATTCCTCTCTTCTGTTATCTTTAGTCATTGTCCAATTTCCAGGTAAATAGCAAGTAATCAATCAAAAAGGCATTTGACTGTGTGGATCATAACAAACTGTGGCTGACTCTGAGAAGAATGGGAATCCTAGAACATTTAATCATGCTAATGCCAAACCTATACTGGGACCAAGAGGCAGTAGTCAGAACAGAGCAGGGTAACACTGCATGGTTCAAAATAGGGAAGGTTGTACACCAGGGATGTGTCCTGTGTCCATACCTTTTCAACATGTATGCAGAGCAGATTATCCGGGAGGCTGGGCTCTATGAGGAGAATTGTGGCATCAGGATTGGTGGAAGATCTATTAACAGTCTGCATTATGTAGATGACACAACCCTGCTTGTGGAAACTGAGGAGGACCTCATGCACTTGCTGCGGAGGGTCAAAGACTGCAGCCTTCAGTATG